GGTGCCTCTGCCTTCCGGAGCTCTGTGAGGCCCTTCTGTCCCCTCAGCTCCCAGCAGCCTGTGAGGAGGATGGGACCAGGGATGAGCAGGCAGGACCCCGACACTCAGAGGAGAGAAAGAACTTCCCAGCCCCACAGCAGGAGCAGCAGAGCCAGGAGCTGAACCAGGGCTGATCCACCCTGTTCCTTCCTCTGAGCTGAGCCAGAGCTGAGGGGGAGGACTGGGTGCCCGGACCCTTGTCCTGACTGTCCCTCCCTGTACAGTGTCACCGTCACTGAGACAGAGGGGACAGGCCCCATAACATTACGTCCTGGGAGCTTCCCTGTGAGGACCCTCTCCCAGAAGGACAGGGTCAGAACCGATAGGAAATGTAACTCTGGAGAAGGATTCTCTTCTTTTACAATTGGAGACACTGAGGCCCAGACAGGGAAAGGCGTGTCCAAGTGAGAGACTTTAGAGGGGCCTGAACTCCCACATGGCTCAGCCCCTGTCCCCATGGAGGCACCCACCACCTCCCCACAGGGACCCCCACTTCCCATCTGTGGGCCTGACTCCCTGGGTGGGGGAGACGGATCCTCAGAGCCCCTGGGGCCGTGGTTTCTTAAAATCTGTCCCAGTTCTTAACAGCCTTAAGACAGGGCCTGTCCTTAGAGCATGGGCGGCTTTAGGTCCTCAGACTCAGAACTGCCCAGGGGAGCTGTCTCCCTCTGAGCAAAGAGGATCCTGTGGGAGAGGGACTGGGTCCCAGGGGGTCTGGGAAGGACAGGAAGAGGGGGAGAGTCTGGGACTGACCCTGGAGCCCCCCTCCCACAGAGTCCTAACTAAGTCCCTCCCATCGCCCACCTGGCACCTTCTGGACTAGGTGAGGGGGAGGGTTGGGGAGGGGACAGGGGGTGTCTGAGGGACAGATGTCCTCTGGGTGACCATGCCTAGAGACCCTAATTCCCTTTCAGCCCATGATTGTTCTGGGGACGGGATCCTGAGCTCACAGCTCGGCAGACAGGGTCAGGGGCTGCTCACCTGAGACCAGGAGCTCCAAGGGGTCACTGGGGTGTGACCACACCTGGGGGTTGTTCCTGTAACAGCCATAGCATCTGAAGGTCCCCCTGTGGTTTGGGGTCACAGGGCCCACAGGGAAGAGGGCCTGGAACTGCCCACTGGGCTGTCGATGTGAGTGAAGTGTCCAGGAGAGGCTGTGATCTCCTTCTTTTTTTAGAATGAACCTGCCAAATCCCTGCCCTGATCCACACTGGAGGGTCACGTTCCCTCCTGAGGGCACGACATGGCTGGGCAGGGCTGAGAGGCTGGGTTTGCTGTAGGATCCTAGGAGAGGAGGAGGCAGTGTGTTAAATGGGGCTCACACCTCCCTCATGTCCCACAGGGCTGGGCTGTGAGAGGGAGACACCCTGGGAGCAGACCCCCTTCCTGAGGGCAGAGCCTGAGACTGGGACCCCTGAGTGTCCTCTCACCTGTGGGGACTGGAACACGGGACTGAGGGTTCTCTGTGCTGTCCTCACGCTGTCCCCCAGGGGGATACCACCTCCATGCTCCAAGCTCCCCCTCTGCAGGGGCCTGCCCATGTCTCACCTGGAGCTGAGGGCCCTTCCTCATTACCCGCCCCTAGCACAGCAGGGACAGGAGGAGCAGGGTGAGGGGTGGACTCTGAGTCTCTCCCTCATCCATCCCCACCCAGCAGGCCCTGATGCCCCCTTGGAAGGTCGGACTGGGGACTCTGCCTTCCTGAGCTCTGTGAGGCCCTTTTGTCACCTCATCTCCCAGCAGCCTGTGAGGAGGATGGGACCAGGGATGAGCAGGCAGGAACCCGACACTCAGAGGAGAGAAAGAACTTCCCAGCCCCACAGCAGGAGCAGCAGAGCCAGGAGCTGAACCAGGGCTGATCCACCCTGTTCCTTCCTCTGAGCTGAGCCAGAGCTGAGGGGGAGGACTGGGTGCCCGGACCCTTGTCCTGACTGTCCCTCCCTGTACAGTGTCACCGTCACTGAGACAGAGGGGACAGGCCCCATAACATTACGTCCTGGGAGCTTCCCTGTGAGGACCCTCTCCCAGAAGGACAGGGTCAGAACCGATAGGAAATGTAACTCTGGAGAAGGATTCTCTTCTTTTACAATTGGAGACACTGAGGCCCAGACAGGGAAAGGCGTGTCCAAGTGAGAGACTTTAGAGGGGCCTGAACTCCCACATGGCTCAGCCCCTGTCCCCATGGAGGCACCCACCACCTCCCCACAGGGACCCCCACTTCCCATCTGTGGGCCTGACTCCCTGGGTGGGGGAGACGGATCCTCAGAGCCCCTGGGGCCGTGGTTTCTTAAAATCTGTCCCAGTTCTTAACAGCCTTAAGACAGGGCCTGTCCTTAGAGCATGGGCGGCTTTAGGTCCTCAGACTCAGAACTGCCCAGGGGAGCTGTCTCCCTCTGAGCAAAGAGGATCCTGTGGGAGAGGGACAGGGTC